GGGGGAAGGGAAAATGGCAATGGGGAAGTGGAGTTTTCGGCCTCGCAATCTATTCCTCCTCCTCCTCCACCTACATGGCGCGATATTTTTTTCCTTTTCTTTCTTCTTTATGTTTTCGCAATCTCTTCCTCCTACAGGGAACATGGTATTCAGTCTATGGGCAAAACTCAGAAATCAGTCTATGGGGCCCAGGCCAACGGTCACAAGGCCGGTACCGGTCCAGCAGTAGGACCTGCCGGCGGAGAATTTTTGAAGGTAGCCGCGTTTTGGCGCCACTATTTAGTTTCGGGCAACGGATCTGAACCGTTGATCAGATCAAMGGTCCAGACCCRAAGGCACCAGCAGCCGTGAGGCTGGCTGTACCATGCCCGGTYGGGCGATGTATGGGAGCCAAGGATCYGCAAAGTGATGAAAAGGACTCGTATGGACAATGCAGTGTCAGCCAASCATCAACGRGCAATGTACATCCMGATACATATGAAAATAGCACAAAGTGGCGCAGTRGAAGACTCAAAACATGRCCTGACCTGTCAGATGCTGACGCGACACCCCATCATACACCACACATGTGAGAGAGGGAGGAGGGACCTCATACATGGAAGAACGGTCCCTCCTTGCACACRCACATGGGGGAAGATACMACGGATGAGAGATGGGGGGAGGCGAGACGAAGATGGAGGYGAGGGAGAAGACTAAGATCRCGATAGCGAAGTCCAAAAAAATAGTCCCTTGCCGAGTGTCCAATCAATGTCTGCCACAAAATGTCGAATCAGATCCTGGGCATATGCCCGATGCAACCCCTACCAGTAACCTCTCTCTCTCTCTCTGTCTGAAGAAGAAGAAGAAGAAGAAGAAGAAGAAGAAGAAGAAGAAGAAGAAGAAGAGGAGGAGGTGGAGGGCGAGAACAGATGGAAGAAGAAGAAGATAATGTCGTCCTCCTCGCTGTCTCACCTGCAGATAACTGCTGCCAAGTACTGACGTCGCCGGCGTACGTTGTGCTGCAGGTCGCTGAAGCCAAGTCCAGCTATGGCGCCCAGGTATGTACTCGAACGCTGCAGGTATGGCCTCCGCCACGTCTCCCTACCTACTCCTGTACCTCTAACTCCAACGCAGTGCTGTGTCGCGCGCTGCTCCAGCAGCGTGTCGCCCAAGAAGTGAGCTACTCGAACTGTGTGTGTGCGCAGCCGCTGGCCAGCTATTTGTAGCGCTGGGCGCAGCTGGGCCTACCTGCTGCTTGGCCTAGAAACGGCCTACCTGGTCTGGGCTCCTACCAGGTATCCAGACCGTGCTGCTGATGCAGCAAGGCGCAAAACGCGCCTGGCCTAGAAACGGCCCCGTCCCTGTGCACCTGGCCCAAGGCATCGCCTTGGCGCCTGCAAGTCCGAAACAATACCTGAACAGAAAAAAATAGGACAGCCCACACACAGAAAAGGTAAGTAAAAATAAAATAAAATAAATGTAATGACCCGTCATGACACAGACTGAGAACACTGCTGATTTCTGAAGTTCTGCTGATGGAATGGATGCCTTGTTGAGATTTCCGCATTCTGCTGTGTTTTCCAAGTGTGTGTGTGTGTGTGTGTGTGTGTGTGTGTGTGTGTGTGTGTGTGTGTGTGTGTATGTGTGCGTGCCTGTGGACTTGCGTGCCGTCTGAGTGCTTGTCTGCCTGAGTGTGTGTGTGACCCGGACGGGTACTTGTTCGTTTGGCAGGCCCGTCGGGCTGGTACTTACCTGTGGYCGTKGCATTGAGGGTTGCAGCWAGGGGAACACTCAAGTGGCGAAGCTAGCGGCCCCGAGGCCCTTGGATTAGCGGAAAAACACTCAASTGGGCCGGTAGGCCGATACCGCACCCCACTGAGGGGTACTGGAGGCCGAGCAGAAAAAGACAAAGTTGGCATTTTTAGAGTCCAGTAGCSGTAGAGTAGGTCTAGGCCGGTACCAGTCTGAGTCTAGAGCCTGTACGGGCAATATCCGGGCCTGCAATGATGTTTCCCWCCGAAACGGAGGATGGTACCGGTTGCTTGGGAGGCCGAGCGGCCTGGAGGTCACCGCCCAAGAGGCAAGCAGGCCGCTATATCAACCGGAGGAGGCCGGAGCCTCCTCATTCTTCACTTGGTGCAAGTCGGCAACGCTGGAGGAGCGCTAGGCGGAGGAGCACCAGCCGCAGCAGCGCAGCTGGAAGGAGGAGCCGGGAGCTTCCACCCTGGCTATGGTGGAGCTCACCGAGTAGGAGGAGGAGGGAGAAGGGGTCGAGGGAGGAGAGTGGCGAGGTGCTTACCTGGCTATGGCGGTCACCATCTTCATCACCTTGTGAGGTGCTGCATCTGGAAGACCCTTGGAGGGAGAAGTGCCGCATCAAGGAAGCTCGGGCAGAGTCTGGCTATGGCAGCGCAGCAGGCAGCGATATAGCTGCCGTGTGTAGTCCTGTGGACCAAGGAGGGGGCAGCGCCATAGCTACTTGTGTTGTCCTCTGGACATCCGGGGCAGGGCCCCCATCAGTCCGCCATAGCCTAGGCCTGTGAAGGAGGAAGAAGAAGATGGCCATGGCTATGGTGGACCTCATGTTGATGCCTGAAGTAGAAGTGGGATTCGGGCATTGATTCTGGTATAGCTGTTCAACATTATTATTGTTATTTACTGTTTTGAATAAGAGAGGAGGAGATAAAGAGGAGGAGGTTGTTGAGAGAAGAAGAAGAGCTTTGTCTTTGGCCTATGCTGGAGTACATCATCTTCTTCATCTTTCTTGATTCTTCTTCTTCTTCTTTCCCTCTATCTCCTCTCAAGTTCTTTCATTTCTTTTGTAATTGGACGGCATTGGGTCCAAGTTCATTCATTTCTTTTCGCAATTGGACAACATTGTACTTTCGGATGATTGTGGACTTCAAAATTGGCCAGGATCGTAACATAAATAATTATCTACCTACCTAGGCCTGTAGGGCCGCCGTGGGCCTCCAGGGCGCGTGCAGTATGGCACGCGGCCTGTGGGCCCCTCAGCAATCATCGGGCCCCTCAAATGGGCCCGTGTGCAGGCGCAGCATGTAACACTGCCCCAGCACTATATCAAGCTGGGTACCAGCCTCAGTACGCAGGTTAGTCAACGGTAGGGTGCTCTACGGTTAGTCCACAAGATTAGCGCAGCACTTCAGCGTTAGGACGAGCAGAGCAGCGGAGCGAATCAGCGCAGCGGCAAGGAGGAATAGCGCGACAGCGTTTTAGCACAGCAGACCAGATCAGATCAGACTGATCTGATCAGACCAGATCAGATCTGATCTGATCAGACCAGACCTGATCAGATCTGGTCTGATGATCAGATCTGGTCAGACCAGATCAGATCTCCAAAGA